AGACCTTACACTTGTCTTTGTTAAACTTCATAAGGTTCTTGTTAGCCCACTCTTCCAGCCTATCCAGATCTTCCTGCAGGGTGGCTCTCCCTTCCAGAGTGTCTACTTCCCCACTCAGTTTGGTGTCATCTGCAAACTTCATCAGGCTACATTTGATCCCATTATGGAGATCACTTATGAAGATATTGAATAGCGTTGGGCCCAGTATCAGTCCCTGGGGGACCACACTTGTGTAGTCTCCCCACTATAGCATGGCAACATTTGTAAAAGAGAAAAATTACTGAGGGTTGGGCTAATCACACTAACTTTTTGGGTGTCATTCAAACTTTACCATATACTTTTCCCAGTTATCACAGTCTAAATGCTGGGTGCTATATTCCTACCAGATCTTGGCAGATTTTGCAATGTTTTCAGTGTGAACAAAGACAATGCATACAAAGAACCAGCACATTGAATTTTTACTGATGTCACAGACTTTGGACTTTGTTAACACTGTAATTTAAGCTCAGGCTTGGCTCCTGGCCTTTGGCCTGCAGAGGCTGCTGGCACACTCTTGTGGTGTCCATGGCTGGAGACAAGTTTCGTGCGAGACTCAATCGCCAAGAGTGGTGGCACAGTGCTGGAGACGAGTCTACCTGCAGGGCTTTCCTCTACCCCTCCATCCCTGGGAATCAGCCTCTGGTGTCGGATTAGAGGAAATGTATTTACTAGCTGTTGTTTGGCTTGTACTGGAGCCTTTCCCTCCAAAAGTGAAAACCGGAAAAAGTCCTGGAGTCCTCTTCCAATCAGAGCTCCAGGGTAGTCCTCTTTCTGCTCTTTCTCCTTGGAAAATAGACCCTAGTATTAGCCAAGTGCTGGCACCATTTCACAGCACCTCTTCTCAGCCGGTGCCGGTCAGGCATGGGAAGGACTGAGCGCACTCCAGCTTTTCTCTGGATATCTCTCCTTCATTTCATTCCAGGGAGATGGGATCAGCAGTTAATATTAGACAAGCAGTTAGCAGCAGACTTCTATCTGCAGCTCAGCAATGATTCATCTCCCATTCAAATGGCATAACAGATTGATGGGGCTGAGAGGCTCCTTACTGAACATAGGGACCCACACAGCATTTCAGAATAGGTGCTATGGGATGGCTGTAACCTAAATATAGAGACTTAAATATTTGGAAGGCTCCAAAATAACTATACTTTTTTTAAAAAATGAATTATAGATAAAATCTGGGCTCTGACCCAAGCTTAATGTTTGAAGTAAGCATAGCCATAAACAGGATGTGAACTAAGGTCTGCACAAGGTACAGGGTATTATGCTAGCCCGATGCATTTACCTCCCTGATCTTAATCTGAACTATGATTTTTATGGTGCAAGTGAGAAGGCAAGTTTTTAAAATTAATAATCTACCTTAAAATACACTTTGTGTTAAGATCCAGATAATTCTGCAAACAAATTACCAAGAATTTAGATAAGATCTGTTTTACTGCTGACATTAAAATCGTTATGTAAAGATGTCTGCCTTTATTTCAACACAAGAAGTATTTCAATTTGGGAAGATGTTAATTTCCGTGTCGCAGGCTCCATTATGAAAAGGAAACTGTGTGGAGATACCAGAAAAAGAAACTCCACTGTTGTCATGGTGACAGCAATTAGCAGCAGTTAAAACAGCAAACAATGGATTTAATGGTTTGGTCTAATAGTGACTTCATTACTTAGCAGTCTAGTTTGTCTATCAGCATTTCAATCCACAGGAATAATTCAGTGCTGTGCTCCCACTACATGATGCTTTCACTTAGCATTTTGAGTCTATTACAAGCAGAATTGCACTAGCATCATTACCATAAATATTTTTGATTCCATATGTGGTGGGAAGGCCAAGGTAAATGCTCCCTAGCAATCCCACTTGAACACCTCCTGTCACGCAGCAGAGAGCCTGCTAGACAGAAAGGAGCAGTCTGTGCTCATTGTACTGTGATGGTAAAAAATAACCTGAATACCACTGCAATTGTATCATCTCCTTTAAAATGGGTGGAGAATTTCAAGCTATTAGGCCAGTCAAGGGCGTACATCATGGCTTATGTCAGGAATATATTTTCTTTTGTACAGACACCAAATATCCGCCTTTCTTTCTCCTCCTCATTATTTCTTCAGGCTGTGGAAATGGCAAATACCTTCACATCAATTCTCAAGTCTATAAACTGGGTTGTGACTACTGTTTCCCGTTGGTGGAATCAGCACGAAATGAAGGCCATGAAGTAATGGCATGCCATGGCTTGTATCTGCCTTATCGAAGTGAGTGCTTTGATGCTGTCCTGTCCATTGCTGGTAAGTTCTGCATACTGCCAATGTCGATAGGTCAGACCTTTAAAGGGTCCAAAGCATTTAGTTTCTTCTAGGTTTGTTTTTTTTTCAGTGACCAACAGAATATTTTGGGGTTTGTAGACCAGGTAACTCTATAGTAACACAAGAAATGTATATTATTGCAAACTCAGTGAAAAACTGCAAAAAGGGTAAGTCACACGGATGTGAGCTGTTTTATTCTGCTCCAAGCACAACAAAAGTACAATATGCAAAACAGGAAAGGAGAGCCTTATTTTTGCCTTATTACATAGCAGAAATTTGAAGTGTTGGCTCTATCAGGAGGAAAATACAACAAAACTTGCTTAGGAACACTGAGCGTATTCGAAGCTCAGTATTAAATCCTTCTGCACCTTTCCAAACACTGCTTTTTAGTCCCATGCTCCATGGTTTGTTGGCAAACACAATCATTTTTGTGCTGATGAGGATGACCATGACACTGTTCTGGCTGGAAAGTAACCGGCAAAAAGAAAGGTTGCTTTTAGCCGAATCAGTTACCCACTGCTTCACTGCAGAGAGACCTGTTTCAGCCAAAGCAGGAGATAATGCAGAGAAAGAACAAGGAGCCGATGACAAAGCAAGCAGAAGTGCTTGTTTCAATGGCACTGCTGCCTTAAAATATTCATCAAATAACCTCAGATTTCATTTGTTGTAAGATTTTTCCTTTTTATTTAGTTGCCCTTTTCAATGCAACTTAATGTTGGAGGAACTACCTGTCTCTGCCACTTTTGAAGCAGACATTGAATGGTAGCTCAACCACCTTTTAAAAGTTAGGTATTAAGCTCATGCTGATTAAAAGTTGGACAATACTGTCAATAAAACAAATTACAGTGCTCAGCAAACTTGATTTTCCTTTTCTCAACCAAAGGAGTATGAAGGTCTCTAAGCCTTGTTAAATCGAAGTGAAATGTTAATACCTCACGTCTCTTGAAGTTAGTGAGTAGCCTTACACAGCCTCTTCTCCATGTCTCAGGTGACCTTTCTTTAAGCCCTGAAGGACTTTACTTTTTAAGTCCTGGTCCATGCCATATAATTTGACATTTGATGGAAATTTGAGATTGCATTATTGTCACTGGTACATCATTATACAGGGCTGTGAACCATGCTCAGCTACACCATCTGAAAATCTTTCAGTCATGATTTAAGAAACGTGCCCGATAGCGAACAGTCCTTATTATTGGGTTTGCACATCCTTTGCCCAGATGGGGTAACAACCGTCCTGTGCCCAAAGGTGATTTGGCATTCTCTGGCAATCCAGGGTAAGGAAGTGAAGGACAAGCCAGATTTGTTGAAAAGGGTATGTAGCCGTGTTCAGAAGTTGTCTGCCTCAAAAGAGTCTGTGCCCCAGGAGTACTTGTGAACAGCCTACAGAAAAGTGGAGTATCTGGGCTGAGGTTGCTGCTGGAGATGCAGAACTACAGACCTTCCCATCCACAGCAAGCTGAAAGCCCTGTTTGCATGGCTGCTGTGCGAGAAGCTGGAATTGGTGAGGAATCCAGAAGGACACTTGGGCGACAGGTAGAGCTGCGTGGTTATGGACTGTGGCCCTTTCAGCACTATAATATGGATGCAAATTACAAAATTATTTCTGTTACAGCCTTTACCATCACAGATCATGCATGAACCACAGTAATGATAGTGTTTCCTTATATCGCTGAAAAATATGGTTTAGATGCGTTATAAAGCTTCAAATAATATGTTGAATTATTATATATACTAGTATGTAGTATAATACTAGTATAGTACATATATACTATAATTTGGGTAAGCATGCGTTCTCTGAAACTTCAGGAGATTGTCCAAGGAGGCAAGAAATTTCTGTGGGTGTTCTAAAGCCAGGTCTGTAGTAGGAAATATCGGCAGAAGAGGAGTGTCAAGCCTAACTTGGTGATTTTTCCTTGTACTCAACACCTATTGTGTATGCATATATTAATGAAGGATTTTGCCAGTTCCATGAATGGAATAACCTCTACTGACAAGAAACAAATCTAGACATGATATATCAGCAGAAGTTTAGAATGTGCTGCTTTCAAATGCTTAACTTTCTGTTCAAGGAGACAAATTTGCCCTGTGAGTATGCAATTCATTCCACAATGTTTTCACTGCCTTAAGAAAGAAATCATACTCACTTTTGCAGTGAATTCATGGCATAATTTTATTTGAGATTTAATATCACCAAACAACAGAAGTCATTCCTCTTGCCATATACTGATGGCTTTGTTATTGTTAGCATGATGAAGCCATTCCTGTATTATTGAAATAAGTAGGATTTCTGCCACTTGCAGTAATGGAAAGAGGACTGGCACTCATGTTTCCACTTTGGCTAAGGAATTGTTCCGAATCATAATACAGGACTGACTTTTTAGCATGGCTTTACCTCTGTCAAGGTGGCTTTCTCCTTTATATGGAAAGGTCATGTTCTGTGTTAATAAAATCTTGTGTATGCTGAGCTCTTGGACTCTGACATGGGCAAGGGATAAAAAGCAGCTTTTTCTATTAATTTAGGTAAGTATGCAAAGGTGAGGACATCACATTTTCCTCTCCTATTAGGAGTCAGATACTCAAGTCAGTTAAGTTATTTTATATTACTGAAATATCTGATCAGACTCTTCATCCCAGTGAGAAAAAAGGGTTCCTGGAGTGAAGAGCATCAAATGGCTCTCCTTGGTGTTAATACCAATATGTGAAAATTAACTTCACTTTAATCTGTGATCTTTTAGTCATGTGGTAATTTAACAGAAAAAGCGAGGGGAACCTAAGGGACATAAACCTGTCTAGTTCTCTAATTTACACTGTCTGAGAAAATGGTCTGCGTAATTGCAAACGGTATAATTCTTGAAGTTTACAAGGTGGAAGAGTCTCTTGGGGAAAAAAAGAAGTCCAAATAAAAGGTCCAGGAGAGTTTCCTTATCGTATAAGATTCTGTCTTTATGGTAAAATTCAATGAGACACTGAGCAAGAAGAAACCAAGTGTTAATATCAGATCATATCAGTGTAGTTATATTGCACTGTTGTGCCAATTACTATGGGCACAACACTGCAATGCCATCATGACATAGTTCCTTTACCCCATAAAGAAACCTCATATTCCTGTGCAACCTTGGTTATTTCTGCATAACAGTGAGTTTTGTCAGATAGGTATGTCATCACTACCTGCCAGTTCTCCTAAATTCTGTTTTTCCTAAGGATCAATTGGGTTTACATTCTAATAGTTTTTTAACTTTTTCCAACAAAAAGGCACTGTGGTCAGAAAATTACATTCCCTAAAATAAACAATATTAAAGGCACAACAAGCAACCTGTCCCAGTGGAAAGCAGAATATAACGAGGTCTGGTATAAAAGCATCAGGAACTCTTTAATGCCACAAAAATTGAAAAGAAATCATCAAAAAACATGACTATCAATAATTATTAAGGGATGGTGTGAAGAACCAAAGTCAGGATGACTACAGCATAACATGAATTATAACTAGGATAAGGTTTTATAAATGCACAGAAAGCAAGAGGAAAACAAAAAGGAAAGAAGAGCAAATAACAGATGACAAGGGAAGTTGCATTTTTCTTTCATCTTTACAAAAAGTTAACAGTAGTCATCAATAAGTTAGTAGAGTTTTAACCAGAGGACAGGAGTTTAGACTATAAAAAGGAAATAACATCTCAAAGAATATTTAGATAAATTAGGTTACACAAATTGTTAGGAAATCATGAAATTAAACTACTGTGAACTAGCAGATTATCTTTAAGATCTCAAGCAAGTAAAGAAAAGCAAACATAATACTTGTTTCCAAAAGAGAGAGAAAGGACATCAAGAAGAAGCCAGCCTAACTTAGATTTATGCAAGGATACCAGAATAAATAATTTAAATAATCTCATTTAAATAGAATAAATTATTTAAACCTACAGAATACTAATGTAATGGGAAACAGCCAACATGTATTTGTCAGGAGCAAGCCAATCTGCTTTCTATCATTGACAGGGTAATCATCCCAATAGACAGGGTAGCAGGAGAAGACATGACTCCTGTGTCATTGTTGCAAGTAAAATAAGTAAATAGATCTAAGAATATGGAAGAAAATTATTCTCAAAATGGATCAGTGGTTCACTGTCCAATCAGGACACATTTCAAATGGGATGCTCTTGGGACCCACCCTACATCTGTTTCTATGCAAAAATTTAATTAATAACTTTGATGGAAGGCTAGAGAGCATATTGAACAATTTGTGAACGGCTCCTATGTAGGAAGAGTTGGAATTATTTTCGAAGATAGGATTTGAGATCCAAATGATGGAGAGTTGTCTGAAATCAGCAAGAAGAGATACAGAAACCATTGAGAGGGATGTACCATGCTTGGGAAGGAAGGATTCAGTGAACAAAGTGAGAAATAATGGCCAGGCAAGATGGACCACAGGCCAAATACATGTGAGTAGTGTCAGGCTGTTACAAAACCAGGCAAATACCTGTCTGGGGTATGGTAACCGAGCAGTTTCATGGAAGGCAGAAGAATGAGTCACCCTCCTGCGCTTGGTACTTTTGAGATCCTAGGTGGAATATCATATCTGCCTTTGGGGACCATGCCTTAAAATGTTTGCAGTAAGTATGGAGACATTTTAGATAACTGAAGTTTAGAAAATCTGAATTATTAGAGGAAACTGAAAGAATTGGGTTTTGTTAGTCAAGAAAAAAAAAAGACTGAAGGAAACATAATAGTCTTCAAATACATAAATGATTTTTACAGAAAGCTGATATTACTTTTATATAGAAAGAAAAAAAATAATCATCTTAACCTGCAGCAAAGGTTATTTACCTCAGATATTAAAAGGCTTTTAAGACCAGATTAGACCAACCTGGGTACATTTGGGCCAAGTATTTAATTCTGCCTTGGAGATGGAAAATGAATGACGTCTATTTTTCTATATCTAATTTAATGAAAAGGCCACCTGTCCTTTTTGAGAAAAATCTATTGACTCT